AATACTTCAATCAGATTTTTAACACATTGACATGTGACAGTTCCCGCTCACACTGGCTGCTTGTTTGCTGTATATAATAATAATACATTTAAAAATAAGTTCCTCGAAGTTTTTTATGTAGTTTCTTAGCATCTGAATGTTCTTATTCCGGTGTCTTTTTTCAGGTGAACTGTTGACTTGCCTTTGTACGTGTTTATGGCTGAGCCACCGATGGGACAGAACAAGTAAGCATCTGGTCGCTAACACCTTGGTTTCTGTTCAGTTTCATTCCGACCCACGCCTGTGTATCTATCAAAGCATGACGAGATCTGATCTTCCCGTGTTGGATAAGTATTAACTTTGATAAGTTGGTACTTTGTTTGGCCCCTCGAAATGCTAATGTGCTAGGTGAACAAGTACCTGAAGAATATCATTTTGCCCGAGTATACCAGGAAGTATTGAGTCTCGTGTACTGACACTGAAGGTCAACGAGCGTGTACAGATATGTTTGACCTTGAATAGATCGCATACCTCAGCTATTACATTATCAGCCACTCTCGCTTTCATTATGTAACAGTAAATCAGTTTCTGGTGGAGCACGCATGCTCTTTAGACTTACCAGACGCCAATTGCATCAGGTTAACGTTCGAACCATGGGGTTTGATTTCAAATCACGTTGAAGTAATCTCCTGTCTGGATCCGTCTCGTGAAGACTCTGTAAGTGCTGGATCGTGTCAGGTTATCAAACCTGATTTGTGATGCACTGCATGCACTCAACAAGGCAGAATATGTTTTGTAGATAAAATTTAAACATCAAAAGTTTCAAAACTTAAACTTCCATAATGTTTACATTTAGAGATTTTGTATTTGAGATATCTCAGTCCAGACAGACTCTTCCATGCGACGGCGCTGAATCTATAAATGGTAAATTGAATATGATATTTCAAGCTTACATCACTTCATTATCCCAATTCGGTTGAACGTTGATGTAAATGAAAGTGACAAAACCATTCCCAAAATCACAAGACATCTCTGCTGAAGGCTGCACATGCAAATGCCTATTGTTCACCTGAAAAAATCACGGAAACATTATGGTCGAAGTCAAATTAGGATGTTGTCATTGATACGTCAAATTTGGAAATACCTCCACATGACTGCAATAAATTTTAAAACAGTTGAAATCATGATCTATTTTTAAAATCTGTCTTAAAGAATGACGGGGGAGGGTTTGTTCAGCGCGAGACAACCGCCAAATAGATAGAGGAGTAAGTGAGTCAGTTGGGTTTAACGCCGCTTTTAACAGTATTCTAGTTATATCACGGCGTGTCAGCTTAATGTGGGAGGAAAGCCCGAGGTCATGCAGGTCTCAGACGTTTACCACTTCGGTGAAACCCACGAGCACGGGTATGGTACTGACAAACCTAAAAACACAATCGAGGCGAACCGGGATTCGAACCCACAAACAGGTGAGGTTGCTTTGAAAATAGTTCCGTCAAAGTGTTATGTTCACTGCAGTGACATATCAAGTGTTTTGTTCACTGCAATGAAAATATCTCTTTTCTCAACTTCAGAAAACTCAGTCTTTCACACTGAAGTATATGATAAATCCATTTTTTATATTTTTTAGTGGGACTTTTTTATAAGACTCGGTCCACGAAGCAATATAGTGAGGTTTTCACTGTTTATTGGCCTGTTTACACGAGGCGCACCTGCGCACCTCATCAAGTTGTCCCTCTATTTTGTCCTTTGAATTCCGTTGCTCACTTTGCAAGGGTTTTTCACGAACAAAGTGAAATAAAAGTTACTCTTCGCTTTGAACATGCCACACGGTAGTCCTTGTAATGAAATGACTCTGGGTTTGATTCAGTTGTCTGCCGTCTGGGGACCCATAATCAAATGAGGGAGTAATACATTGGTGTTTTTGTATATATCGGCATTTCATAAAGTTGGACTTCTGTGATGTGGTCTTGATTGTCCCAGGACTATATTTGTGATAAACCTAAGTTTATCAAAGAGATATATGGATAAGAAGATGGCAAATGGGATATGTACACAGGGTAATGAAATTATGGTCAGGGATGGTCGTGTCACTTTTATATTGGAAACTACATCTGGATTGGGTTCAGGATGCTGGTGAGGCTGTGTATCTGACCGTGGGCTTGAGTTAGGGGTTGGTGAGGGTCTAGTCGTGGAGTTGGGCGTGGGTGTGGGTGTTGGTGTGGTTGTTGGTGTGGGTGTTGGTGTGGGTGTGGGTGTAAGTGTTGGTTAACGTGATGGTTTAGGTGTGGGCGCGGGTGTGAGCGCGGGTGTAGGCATGGCTGTAGGTTTGTGGGTGTGGGTTTAGATGTTGGTTTATGTGTAGGCATGAACGTGGTGTGTGTGTAGGGGGCGGATGGGAGTCGATGCGGTGTGGACGTGGGTTTAGGTGTTGGTTTAGTGTGGGCGTTGGTTTTGGTGTAGGTGTGGTTTTGCCGTGGACGTAGGCGTGGGTGTTGGTGTGGGTGTTGGTGTGGGTGTGGGTGTGGGTGTGGGTGTGGGTGTAGGTGTGGGTTTAGATGTGGGTTTTCTGTGGTCGTAGGCGTTGGTATTGGTGTGGGTGTGGATGGAGGTTTAGGCGTCTGCGGGTGTGTGGGTGTGGGTGTGATTTGGCTGTGTGGGTGCGACTGTGGCCGTGGGTGTAGATAAAGATGTGGGTTTTGTGTGGTTGTTGACATTGGGATGGGTTTCGGTGTGAGTGTGGGCACGGGGTTTAGACGAGTTGGGTAGGTTTAGGCGTTGGCGTGGGTGTGGTTTATGTGTGAGTTGGGTGTGGACTGTGCAAGTGCAGGTGTTGATGTATGCTTTCAGAACGTAATATGTAGATGTGGTTGTCACTGATGGAGGGCTCAATGTTGAAGGTGAATGGGTAGGTGATGGGGTCGCTACTGGGATACACATGGATAGTCTGAACGGAATGACATAATACATAGACTCCTGGTTTATTTTATTGTTCACGTATTGTTGTGCGTATGAAACGGATATCAACGAACATATGCTTTTCTTTTAGTCAGGTCCCCTATTCGTGTCCGAATTATGGTTGGTTCGATCCCGGTTCGCACCATACCCGTGATCCTGGGTTTCACAAAAGTGGTAAAAGCCCCGCTGTATCTCATACTAAGTTGACACGCCGTGGTATAACTAGAATACTGTTCAAAGTGGCGTTTAACGCAACTCACTCACTCACTCCTCGCTGATTCATGGCATGGGTGAGGTGAAATTGGGTTTAACGTCGCGTCCAGGATTATTGCACTTATATAGCGACGTGCATGCACGTGTATGTGTGTGTGTGGCTGCTTGTACTAGTCCGGACTGATGCCGATTTATAGTGCTAGCTCACTGAGATACCATGCCGCAGTTTAACATGAATACCCCACTCAGACACAGTATACTGACTCCGAGCCGACCAGTCCTTGTTTTAGCCCCTTAATGCCGAGCGCCAGACAGGGTAGCAACAAGTACAATCTTTTAACGTCTTTTTGTATGACGCGGCCCGGGATCGAACCCTGGACCTTCCGCTCTCCGGGCGGACGCTCTACCACAAGACCACGGAGGCGGTCTTCATGGCATGGGGTTTGGCATACCAACATGACATAACATACATGCATAAAAGTAATATGATCATTCCAGCATAACCGTCTTCTTTAGTTCCCAATTATCCCACTTCTGTATGACATTTGTCGCAGGAAAGCCATCTGCAAGAAGTTTTAAATCTGGCAATATTAACAATATATCATCAAACAATACCATCATATTAAAAAATCACTAAAATTCATGAAAATGGTGACGCAGAGCTTTCAGAGCTAGCAACATCTGTATAATCATGTTTGGAACACGGTAATATATCTAAAATTTCCTTCCATTTGAATTACACTCTTCAGTAGGTTTATTACTCGACCCTCATGAGAGACCGCCTAAACAAAACCAATAACGTATTGAGGTAAGTCGAGGTCTCAAAATGTGAAGGTATAAACGAACTGATCATGAGCTACAACTTTTGTCCTCGAAACGGAAAATTTCAAAATTAATAACATCCATACCAAATGAACCGGTTTAACACATATCTCATTTATATGCACAATTTCACAGATACACTGGACACCTTAAGGGCTATGCTCCGGAAATAACCCTCAATTATTTGCTCATGTGTCCGTCGTCTTAAACGTACATGCCAGCGCTACCAGTTACAAAAATATAGCAAAAGGTGCACTTTCGGGACTTTTGTAATATGTATGCAAGCTTAACAATATAAAGGCAGCCAATAAAACATGATGAGATATGTTTGTTATGAATGGTAATATCTCAAGCATGGAACAAAAAATTGATGATCATATTATATTTATTATATGTTTACTTATTCTGTGTACAGGTTTAATGTCCCTCAGTTTTAAGACTTCATGCTTTTGCTTTTCAGAAGTAAAATATGTGAAGAAGAAGCTTGCTTATAAAACCTAACCTTTATTATCATTTATCTCCCCTCAAGTTCTACGCCATATATCATATGTCTTTGTTCTATATTGAGGGGAACATATGTATGGTATTGACTGAAATGTTACTTGTCTCTTATAACACATTTCCTCGCTGCAAGTATAATAAGGCGAATAAGGTCATGTAGTTTTTTCTGTTTGTCATTATGGTTTCATGTGGGCTATGTGATAAACTAGTTCTCTCATTGCAGTCCTAATTATTTTATCATATTGAGAACATGAACCCGAGTGTCTGGGATCAGGCTTTCTTTTACCGTGCCAAATGATATTTGATTCTGATGACCCAGTTGTTGATGTTCCTTGTCACAAGGGTCCATGAGGATAAGCGATTTGATTTAAAACCGGACACATTGATGTTTAATACATTTAAACAATTGATGTTGGAAAATAATTTCATCGGACTGAAGACCCACAAACAATTATATGCATAACAGTAGGCAGTTTGATTACATTCTTTCAAGATCATTGGTGAGATTAATAGCATTTTCTCAATAACCCATGTTTGAATCAAGTAACCAGCAATTGTCTACCACAACGGCAGCAGCAGCAGCACGTAACCAACAGCTATCTACCACAGCAGCAAGTAAAGCGCTACCTTCCACCACCACAACAGCAGCAGCACGTAACCAACAGCTATCTGACACAGCCACAGCAAGTAAAGCGCTATCTTCCACCATAACAGCAGCAGCACGTAACCAACAGCTATCTGACACAGCCACAGCAAGTAAAGCGCTATCTTCTACCACCACAGCAGCAGCAGCCCGTAACCAACAGCTATCTGACACAGCCACAGCAAGTAAAGCGCTACCTTCCACCACCTCAGCAGCAGCAGCACCTAGCCAACAGCTATCTGACACAGCCACAGCAAGTAACGCGCTACCTTCCACCACCTCAGCAGCAGCAGCATCTAGCCAACAGCTATCTGACACAGCCACGGCAAGTAAAGCGCTACCTTCCACCACCTCAGCAGCAGCAAGTAAAGCGCTACCTTCCACCACCACAGCAGCAGCAAGTAAACTGCCATCTTCCACCATTGCAGGATCAGCAGCTATGTCCCACCAGGAGCGGCCACCGACATATACCATGCTATGTAGCATTTCAAACTAAGTTTCACTTCCAATGACATCTCAGCGGACCCTGTGGTTGTGGCAAGACCGTGTTGGTGTACAACATACTCTTGAATGGATTGATAACACTCAACAATATTGGTGTCATATTGAATAAGAGCCATTGCATGAATCAGCTACAAGGCTAGTACCAGTTTTTAGTTATGTAAACTATTTTTGCTATGGTCCCCACTTCAAACATGTTCTTGATAAAGTGAGATCTATGGATCCAAACACAGATTATCATATCATTAGTGGAGCAAAGTAAAAGCCGTTGTTTTATATAATACTTGCTTTATTATCCTCCGCCACGAAGTGGAAGGGGGATACAGGAATGAGTGCTGTTCGTCCGTCGCGTTTCGTTTCCGGAACAGAACTAAAAAACCATGCGAGATATCTTAACCAAACATTCAAACCATTCATATAATCAACAAACAAGCTGAAGTCATTTAAAAGTTTTATTTTAAGTCACATTAAAAATTCACATAGCACCACAAAATATGAGATAAAGACACATCAATACATACAGACGACGCTCCGCACTCTTGGCACAAAACGATATTGTCGTAAGAGAAGTGACACGTTCACGTCGTCGTTGAGAAATGAATGCGTCGTATCATGTGTACAGATTATGTATATTTCAGCCTCAGACGTATCTTTTAATATTACTGGTATAAATCACGAACGTTCAAACTGGTCATGGGATCCGTCTCTTAAAGCGACACGTTTTCGTGAGGGTTTAAACTCTTCTCCAAAGCATATATTGCCACACAGACTGCACAACATGTCTACATGAGGGTTATTAATATTTGTCAGACCCGGTTCACCAAACCTAAATTTAGCATCCACACACATTCGAATAATAGACGATGTGACAACTTGACACGGAAGCAGTAGAGTGTGTTTTTTAAACAGAGTTTAAATCTGAGTTTTTTAAACCACATAGTTATCCATACTGACAAGCAATGTTCAATGAATCTTCGCACTTGACCTTCTTCCGCCCCGCAAACAAAATTGGATGATCATCCAGTCTAACGCACTGAGTAATACCCTTCTCCTTTCTTGCTTTTTCAAAATTCCATGCGTGGTCTGAATCCTTTTTCACCTTTTGAAGTCCTTGCTTTCTCCTCAAATCGACCTTTTAAGATCCCATCGTGGAAAGGAGCTCAAGAGGCTCCCATTTGGAGCAAATATCCATGTTGACACATCAGTGGTTGGATATAAACTGAATGCCAGCTGTCTTGGCCACACTATTTATACTAGTTTGAAGAAGATTGAATAAAGTATAAGTTTCTTAGGGTACCCCATCCATTTCATAAATACTTCTTTGTGACCATCTCTCTTTCTTATCTTGAGAACGTTTTCCACGCGCTATATGTGATCAACAGGCTTAAATTAACAATATGACAGGCATGTGCTTAACTTAATCATTGAGATACTGGGAGCTTCTCCATCGTGTTATATCTAAATAAATAAGTTAGGTCCATGAAAGAGTGGTTAGGGTATACACGGTCTGGCCTTGTTTACACATTGTGCTCAATTCGTTCCCATAGAACAACCTTACTTGACAAATACGCCTTTCATCCTTCTGCAATCATGATGAAACTACAAATGAGAACAATGTTAACTACAGGTAGTAACATCACATACATACTGCGAGGTCATTGTAACCTAATATTTCGTAAGTTTTCAACACTGCCTGGTTAGCCGAGACAAATAACAGGTGTTTATCGTTTGCATTCCAAGGCGATAACCACACACATTATACTCAATTCTGCAGTGGTTTCAAACTGTATCTAACAAAGGCTAACGGGATATTATTTGCTGTTTGTTTGGTTACAACTCAAATAACGAAGTCCTCATTGCTTGTTGAACATTAATGAAATCGGGGTGAGGTTAAATATAGACCCATGTAATCAACAGCATTGTTCATATTATGCCATAAGTTTCATTCAAACACCAGGATTCCCGTTACTGCCCTGCGCCTCGTAAGACACCGTTCTCGTGTACTGCTGGCGAGTTAGTTTTCGGGCTTGGATTTTGTCTTCAGCAATCCATGCTTGTCGTAAGAGGCGTCTAACGGGATCGGGTGGTCAGGCTCGTTAACTTGGTTGACCCATGTCATCGTATCCCAATTGTGTAGATCGATGCGCATGATGTCAATCACTGGATTGTCTGTTCCAGACTCGATTATTTACAGACCGCCGTCATATAGGTGGAATATTGCTGAGTGCGGTGTTCAACAACAAACAAAACAAACAAAGCTGTTATACCGTCACATCAACTCGGCGGGACTTTCCTTAAGCAATCAGAATGCAATTTTTCGTTCTCCCCAGCTGAAATATTGCTAAAGCGGCCATAAAACCATGCTCAGTCACTAATACTTGTGGTAATTGTTACCCTCAGTCATCCCGGCTAATCAATGCAATAAACCATTCAATAACATTTACAGTCTCAGCAATGTGTAAACGTGTACTTACACATGTGTTGGAACAGCTTCAAGGTAGAATGAAGTTTGGAGAAAAAATACTTGCTTGAATACAGCTTGGAAAAGAGATGCTGATTTGAGTGCAGGTTAAAGAACATATAAGAGTTTTGAGTGCAGGTTTGAGAAAATAAACTGGTTTTCGTGCAGCTTGGAGAATAGATACCAGGTAGAATGCAGGCTAGAGCGTAGACAATGGTTTGAGTGTTGCTTGGTGAATAAAGGCTGTCTTCAACGCAGGTTGGAGAATAGATATGTTTTGAGTGGTAGTTAGAGAACAGTTATTGGCGTTTTCTTTCGACAACAGTTGCTTGTGTAAAACAGTGTAATTCAGTCCATACGAGACAATAATGTTTTGCCCGTTCTGTATAATTTATGATATTTTCTGCGAAATAACATTTTCATTATTACATAACACTCTTGAGAGCTAGAAAAGAATTGGACGTCTGTTGAAAAATTGCCTGTCAACCAGACATAAGAATAAAAGCGACAAAACCCTTTCTATATTCATAAAAAAACCATCTCTGCCAAAAGCAGATTCGGTTGTACGATTCCGACTATATCACGAGAATGGGTTCATAAGTCCCCAGTGGCACCCGTCACAAACACATGCAAATGCAAGTTAAATGATCACCTGAAAAAAACACGGGGCCATATGGTACAAGTCAAAACAGGGAATTGCATCCAACATCATAATTGTCACCGATGCGCCAAATTTGGAAATATCCTCCACATGTGTACCATAAAAAGTTTGGAAAGCTTTACTGTGGCCTCGAATCCTGGAACCTTGTTAAAACAAGAGTCGTATGACGCTCTTAGAAATCTTCGTAGAAAGACGTGCTTCATTGTACCTCAAACGTTGTGAAATGTAGACACCAAGGGCTGGGGATGCAGGGATTATTGTCCGATATAAAAGGGAAAGTTGACTGTTTGAAAGTTGTCATCCCTCCTGTCATACAGTCTTGCGGAGAGTCGTTTGTCACTCTGAATCTTTATGCATCGATCCAAATATGAAATAGATGAGGCTAAACGGCCTTCTCAATTAGCCATATATGTATTACCTCCTTTTTTCTGTTATTTTGCACTCTGTATTTCATGTGATGTGCTCTTGAAACCTATCAAGGTTTAATCATGTGACTGCTTTCGGCATGTTGCAGTTTTGGTTATAAATAAACTCCCACAACCAACTTCAGATTCAGTTGCAGCATCTTACACTCCTGGCCTTGACACCAATATACAGAATGGATGCAATTACACACAGTAGTAGTTATGTTTCAAAGTTCACAGTTGGTGTCAGAGATATTTGTTACGGAAGGATTCGTTTAGGGTTTATGATCAATAGGAGTAATACCTTTACCCAAAATGTTATGTGGACTGACAGATGTATAATAACACAAGGGTGCGACCGTGTATCTGTTAAGATGAATATCGTATTCTCATTTCTGCTTTCTATACTTATTGGCGAAAAGATACATCCCTGTTAGTTGTTCTACACTAACCAAAGGTACAGTTTTGTGAGATTACTATTGTCGCAAAATAAATACAAAGTCACCAAGTTCAATTTGTCCTTATCTACTATTGAGGGAAAACCTTTGGTTGACCGCAAATTGATAATATTTGTACATCATTTCTTATGTATGGACTCGAGGCCTTGGGCGCAAAAAATGATCTTGATCACATTTATCTTGAATTGATAAGGATAAAATGTATTCAATGAAAGGAATTATAGTTACTGTGTATCGTGTTCAACATGTTAGACAGTGATGGGATGGGAAGCACTGTATTAAACACAAGGATGACATAGTATCTTATATTCGTGGGATTTAAATAACTACTGGAGTGATTGTCAAAGCCATACGTGCCACGTAGTTACTTAAATTACCATTATATATTAATAAAATTGTCAAAAATTTGCAAATTTGCACTCAGTCAAATCATTGTTAGAAATAATCAAACATGAAAAGATTTGCTGTAATGAATATAAACAAAACCAACAAAACAAAAACCGCATCTCTCTTTAATATCCTCTTTCCATGTCAATTAAGTTACATGTCAGACATCACGCTGTTGAAGATCGACAGGAACATACACGTACACCTTTCAGATCGGTCGGCAGCAGTCCATCACAAAGAGCTCCAACCGATTCCAGGAGTTCAACGTTCTCATTCAACTTTGTCTTGAAGGAATGTCTAGACACACCCGTCCAGCAACTGGCACTCAAAAAAATCGGAATGTCTCACATGCTCTTTCCTGTCACTGAGTCTTACTCCTTTGCTCTGCCTGTTATCTCCCTGAGGAGATACCGATACGGAATAAATCAACCAAACCTCACCCTTGTCGATTGAGCTCATATGAGCAGGCTCGGAGACTTTGCCTGTTAGGGTACTAGGTATCCAGGGCGCGGATCGTTGTTTACGTCGTGTCACTGGTGTGCCCTTTCCGGACTCGATGATGTAAAGGCTGGTACAGCGGGAATGTTGTTGACTAACAATTGGGATCGACGACATGCATTAGCA